CTGTATTTTGAGTGGAAATGTTAGGGGGTCGTCTTATACGCCCAGTCGTCTTATACGCCGGCAAATACGGTACTTATTTTATTCTCTCACACACACCCTCACATGCCTTTGCTGCTATTATCTTGCCATGACTCTCAATGTAGTTACTGTGCACTTTCTTCCGCCCCTGTTAGTCTGCAACCTCCATGAGAGCATGGACTTGGTATTCCCAGGGAAGCTGGCCCAGTACTGTGTGCATGGCAGGTGTTCAAGGTAATTACTCAATTAACATCAGTCACATGAATCCTGTTTTCTGAGGACACCCACTATCACTGGGGGGAGAAACAATGCATAATTAATACCAGTGTCTTTCTTGATTGTCAGAATGATGTCCGTTGTTTTTCTGGTGTCCCTCCAAAAAAATGTGCGAACACTTTTTTCTGATAGGTCAGCTGATGTTTTATACTTCTCAGATTTAACTCATTGGAATGAATAATTATTCAAAATGTATATACATTTTTGGGGACACCCTATATATGGTGTTTAGAACTGTCACCATTATTGGGGAGAGTAACTAAGCCTTGCTAACCACAGAACTTCACCTTTCTGACCTTGAGGATGACAATGATCCAAAAGGCCAATCAGAATCTTTCCAATAGATTGATACTGATATGCAAGCTTTGGGGGGAAAAATATTCCTTTTTAAAAAATATGTTTTCATTGATTTTAGAGAGAGAGGAAGGGGGAGAGGGGCGAGAGAAAGAGAGGAGAGAAGGGAGGGAGAGAGAAAAGCATTGATTGGTTGCTTCCCACAAGTACCCGAACAGGGATCAAACCTAAAACTTGGTCATGTGCCCTAAGTGGGAATGGAACAGGCAACCTTTCAGTGCATGGTACAACGCTCAATCTACTGAGTCACACCTGCCCAGGAGGGATTTTCTGATGGGAACGTGGATAACCCATCCTGTTACAAGGGAAGCTGTACTGAGAATAAAGACAACATAGCAACAAGGCCCTGATATTTTCTGGGTCCCTGGATATGCCATGCCTGACACAGACCCATCCCTGGGCCTTAGGTGAACCAGTGAATTCCTACGACTTGCATAAAAGCCCTAACAGATTACCCGTTAGCCTATTTGCTACCACCAAACAATGGGCTGTCTTATTTGTCGCCCTAGGGCAGCGGTTCTCAACCTGTGGGTCGCGAATAATGAAAATACATCCTGCATATCAGATATTTACATTATGATTCATAACAGTAGCAAAATTACAGTTATGAAGTGGCAACGAAAATAATTTTATGGTTGGGGGGTCACCACAACATGAGGAACTGTATTAAAGGGTCGCGGCATTAGGAAGGTTGAGAGCCACTGCCCTAGGGTGTCATCCTGCCTTGAAAGTTCTCTATAGTGTCAACACTCAACTTCCTTGATTTATTAAGGTTAATTCACCCTGGGTGTGGACAGTATACTAAGGAGTGTACCTAACAGGGCTCTCCCAAATTCACTTAGGAAGGGTAAAGAGGCAACCATCTTCAGCTAATCCAGGGTTAATTCTGACTACCTTGAAATTCTAACGTATAGGGCATTAAGATGAAGAGGAGCTCGACATGAGAGTATGTTTATGATTCCATTAAATAAATACTCCAATAACACGCTAAACTAATAGATGGTGATAGGCATCAAAACTGGGGGGGGGGGGGGGGGGGGGAGCGGGACAAAAGGGCACCAGAGGAGCTTTTAGAGTGCTAGAGATGCCTCTCTTGGTGCCGTGGTGGTGACTTCAGTGTTCACATCTGTGAAAATTCATCAGGCTGTATACTCAAGATTAGTGCTTTTTTAAAAAGATGTATCTTTATTATTGATTTCAGAGAGGAAGGGAGAGGGAGAGATAGAAACATCAATGATGAGAGAGAATCATTGATTGGCTGCCTCCTGCATGCCCCCTACTGGGGATCAAGCCAGCAACCCGGGCATGTGCCCTTGACCAGAATCGAACCTGGGACCCTTCAGTCCGTAGGCTGACGCTCTATCCACTGAGCCAAACCAGCCAGGGCAAGATTCGTGCTCTTTACTGAATGTATGTTATGCTTTTGGGGGAAGAAAATCTTAGTATTGAAGAACCATGGGCCTCAGACACAATGCTCCCATTCTAATTCCTTCTCTGCCTACCACAATAGCAAGGAGGAGAGGTGCTGGTGGGTTCTTAACCATCTCAGGAAGCCTGAGGGAAAACATACTATGACTTAATGTGCATCTCTACCTCCACAGCCGATGCACTCTGAATCCTCCACAGCACTCAGTACTCTGCCACAGTCAACACTAGACAATTTCTATTACTCCCCAGAGGCAGCAAGTTCCTTCCATCACTACCGCACACATCAGGTGCTGCGCTGTGGGATTCGCTGTCACATTCGTATCCCTTAGCACCATTCCCATCCTCCCCTTCTGGATTCTAAAATTAATCATCACATTTGCATTGCCAAGACCTTCAAAAAAGTTCTAGGGTGTAGGTAGGGAGTATAAACTGGTACAACCATTATGGAATACAGTTTGACCACATCTATCAAAATGAAATACGCAATTGCCTTTAGTCCAGCAATTCTCCAGATACATTCACATATGTGCAAAGTGATAAAAGTGCAAGTTTATTCCCTGCAGTGGTTTGTAATCACAAAACATTGGGGGAAAACTGTGCATCAATATGGGAATAACAAAATAAGTTACTGCTGGAATATTAGGCAGCTATGAAATAGAACAGGAAACTCTTTGTAAACCAATATGAACACTCTCCAAGATACAGTGCTAAGAAGGCATTTAATATGCTAGTATTTTTTAAAGAAAAAACATACCAATATTCATATTTGGCCAGCATATTTTACTTAAAAATTACCTCTGGAAGGATATAAAAGAAACTGGTAATACCAGCTGCCTCCTGGGAGAGGAACTAGAGATCTCTTTTGTCCCTTTTAAATTTTACTTACGAATGTATTGACTGACGTAAGGACAGAGAACTGTATTCCTAGAATGAAAGAACCTAACCTACCTCTACCTATTAAACCATCAGGAGAAAAGCATTTTCAGCTTAGAAGAAGAAGACCCCACCTCACAGTCCCACCCTTCTTACCTTCCAAGTAACCCTAGGCATCCACCTACAATGCAAAGTTCAGTCTCCAGCCTTTATGCAAACTGTTGGATTTTTTTTAAGGTAAATGGTACAAAACAGTAACAGATTTATACAAGTGCAAGTATTCATGTTTTAGACTCAGAATATCAGAAGAAGCTGCTACTTACGGTGTTGATTTATAGGATGATTCTGGATACAGCCGCTTGTCATTCACTTTACCATTGGAAGAGTAGGCCACGGGACTGTACACTCTGTCCACGTAGTCAGAAGGTGGAGGAGGCATGTCTTGTGTGCCTGCAGAAACGTTTTTAACCTAAAGAAACAGCCCCAAAGAGACACAGGTATTATTTAGCCTGTAATTTAAAGGGGGAAGAAAAAAACATATATAAAATGATCTAGTATTTACTGGAATCATCAAATACTATTAACCTGTAATGATTGCCTTGTTATTGGAGCTCACTGTCAAATCAGTATTTTGACAAACACATAAAGGTGCTCTTGCTAGTTTAACAAGTCCATAATGAATTACAAAGAAGAAGGAAAACAACCAAGTTACCCAGTTCTCATCCCGGTGTGTTTAGGTGAATAATTATCCCTGGCAATTGCTTCTCCCCCATATTAGGAAGACTAGTCTCATTTTATGTAGGTCAGGTCTGTGTTAGGGTGAGAATTTTCTCACAAGTTCTAAGGACCACACTTGGAACACCTATTAGCTAGGGCAAAGGACAATGGTTCTTCTTAACCCATTCACCCTAAACATGGACCACTAAAACCACAGAAGAAATTAAGAAGCGCAAACTGATTTCTGCTATAATTCTTCATTGAGATTTGAGTATTCTCCCTCGACGTACATGCTCAATAGCACTATTATTAATAGCCTGTACAGTACAGTCCCATCATTGCTGTCCCTCTCTGCTCTCCATAAGTGAATTTGTACTAGGAAGGAATATATATGAGATTATGCTTTGTTAATAGGAAAGGTTTCCCACAGAACCTGTGGGAGAAAAATTTAAATATAATAAGCATGGACAATGAGATTCTCAACGTTGTTAGAGTTCATGAAGCAGCGCCAACAAGCTTTAAATTTCACCTAAAAACCTTAACACATTACTTTGCAATTGATTAAAAGTAACTGCTAAATTTTGAGTTGTTTCAAAGTAAAGGAATAAAATAAAGCATGGGAAAACATTAAAAATAACTCCATAGGGGGCTCTGGCCATAGCTCAGTTGGTTAGTTGTCCCGACAAGCGGAGATTGCAGGTTTCCATCCCTGGTCAATGTACATACAAGAATCAATCAATGAATGCATAACTACTGGAACAACAATTCAATGTGTTTCTCTCTCTCTCTCTCTCTCTCTCTCTCTCTCTCAAATCAATCCATAAATAAAATTTTAAAACTCCATAAACTATTTCTGAGAAAAAGAACAACTTTTCAAAATTAGGTAGGGTAGGACTACTTTAGCTTGGTGATGGCATCAGATTACCTGGGCTTACTCCAGATCTGCCAACTACAAGCTATAGAAAGCCTCAGTCTGCTCATCTGGAAGAAATGCAGAAGCTTCTTACTTCATAAAGTTTTTCTGACAACTAAATGACATGACAAGGTATCACATTTAGCACAGTGCCTTTGTGAACACAGTAAAAACTCGGAAGATGCTAGGTTTTGGAATTAAAGTCATTGGATCTAAACAAAGAACTTTGTAATTATTTGAATGTGACAGCAGACTTTTCATTGGATTATTGTGCTATTATGCATCCTAGCAATTAAGTTCAGTATCAATACAGTGTATTTCCTTGCAACACACCCGCCTGACATCTTGTTTCCCAGTGTATTTCCTTGCAACACACACACTTGACATCTTGTTTCCCGTTAAGCATAGCATTACAACATGCCCTGTTCTTTTCCTATCACTGCAATATCACATTCCAAAATATTTATTTACCCAGCCCTCTAAGGCCATGGAGGTCTTCTTGATTGTTTAATAGTCCTGTGAGTCAGAAAAGAATGGAATCATTTCCTCCTGAAGTGAAGTTTGGCAGCAACTGGGAAACCGGTGGGTGGGTTGCCCGGGAGTGTGCTTAGATCCCACCACAGGGGGCGCGGGTGGGAACCATTCTTGGCTCCCCAGATGAATTCCTCAGGACTTGACAAAGGCCTATTCTTATTCTGGAGACTTCAGAGTTTAAAAAGACTTCCTTTTCTTTAAAACCCATTTAACACTCCAGGTTCTTTCCCCTTCACAACTTTAGCAGAGGCTCAAAGCTTGGAGATTTCCTACTGACTCTAACAAACCAGAAACCAAAACTTGACAAAAAGGTGCCTGGGTGTCCCAGTAGAGACTGCTTACTGCCTGGAATGGAATGTCCTTCCTCCTTTCTTTGCCAGCTAATCCTTAATTGGGCTTCAAGTCCTGGCTCACTACCAAGGAGTAGTAATGCCACTACCTCCTGGAGGCCTTCCACCTGTGTCCCTGCTGGGTGAGGCATCTATCTGTCCTCCCATCTCCTCAAGCACCTGTGCACACAAAACTCCCACCCACCACAGCACTTACGCACTGTGGGAACAATTGTTTACACGCAGTATAATGGCTTGCTCCCATATCTCTGACTTCAGTAGGCAGTTGATTGTTCTAAAAGCCACCACTGTCTGCCTGCTTACAATGTGCCAGATACTGAATTCATGCATCATTTAGTAACCACAACCTTAGAGGTAAATACTACGATTCCTTTTTCAGAAATGAGGAAGCATTGGTTCAGAGAGCCAGACAACTTTCCCCAAGACCTATACCTAGCAAGTGGTAATGTGGAATTTAAACACAGGGCTCACCCAAAAGCCTCTGCTACAATCCACCACCTCTCCCTGGGCAGTCTCCTACCTTCTCTTTGGGTCTCCAAGGCCCAGCACAGTACCTGGCAAAAATCAGGAACCCAGAGTTGGCTGCACAGAGGTTATCTCACCCACTGCTGCTCTACATTGTGTATATCCAAACATCTTATTAACTGAGCTGCTCTGCACTGACCTTTATCTCTTAGCAGGACAGGACTAACTTGTCCACTGACTTCACCCGCCAGCAGGTCTTCGGTGGCTTTAACCTTTTTTATATGGTTGCACAAAAAATTCCAAGGTACTGTTTGTTTTGGCAGAGCTTATACTAAAATTGGAGTAATACAAATTATTAGCATGGTCTCTGGAAAAGGATGGCATGCACATCCTGTGATAGGTTCACATTTTTAAAAATCCCCAGCCAAGCATGTCAAACACACAATGCAATAGACGAGTGATGTATATACAATTATAGGCTTGACATCTATAAGATGATATTATCCAATGTCCCCCCAGTAAATTTTTTTATTTATTATTTTTATTGATTTGAGAGAGAGAGAGGAAGAGAGAGAAACATCAATTTGGTATTCCACTTATTTATGCATTCACTGGTTGGTTCTTGTATGTGCCCTGAGCAGGGATCAATTTTGCAACCTTGGTGTATTGGGACGATGCTCTAAGCAACTGAGCCACCAGCCAGGGCTCACCTCAATAAATTTAATTTTTTTTAAATCCCCGTACAGACTCATAGAAGAATAAGAAGCAGACCAGGTCCTTAAAATGAGCTTAAGGATATAGAGGCAGAGGTAAAATATATTTATAAAATAAAGAGGAAGGTCATTTTTTTCCTTTTTACACTTCACTTTTTCTGAAAAAAAAAAAAAAAAGCTAAAATATTACTTTTTCTCATAGTACCCATGCAAAATGAGTACAAACCTGCTGCTTTGAAAAGACAGGCGAAGGAAGGGGGAAGACCCAGTGTGGAGTGACCAGCTATTAGTAATTTATATAGAGAGTCCTCAACCTGTGCATCCTATTAGGACAAAAAGGATTTCTGAGCTTCACGGTATTATTGATAGGATCCCCACCCAGTCAGCCCACAAGATTCAACGATGTAAAGTTGTTTAAAAAACAAAACCAAACCCACACAAACAAAACCCCATCATTTTAATAACTTAAATAAAATGTGTTTAAAGTTTTAGAACCTGAGAAAAACTAGGCTTAATTCTAAGCAGCAAATGGTGAACAGTTTCCCTCAAGTACCTTGAGACAGCTCTGAGAAATTAGTGGCAGAAATGAAAACACAAGTTAAGAAAGACTTGGTTTCTACTAAGTACTGAGAGGAAAGAAAAGTTTGAGCGCCAATCATTCCAGAAATCAAATGCTGCAATTGTTGCTCTGAAGCACAGAGGAGCCTTAGAGGCTACCCAGTGTCCCTCCCTCCAGGGCCTTGCAGTGGGAGGAGACCCACATGAAGGCGGAGGGGAGCTGCAGGCAGCAGAAACCCACCCAGCAGGGCCCAACCAGCTTCCCTTATCTGGGATCTGCTGGAGGAGTCCGTCCTAGTGGCACCCACACCCCACATACAGACTGTAAAAGGGAAAGATAAGACAACAGAAGGAAAGACACGCCCAGGAGAAAGACACCTGACCAACCAAAAAATGACTCAGACTCACTCTGGAGACTATATTCAAAAGGACAGGCACTCACACCGACCTTGTTTAAGGAACATGAATAATTACTTTTAGGGTGAGACACAGGAAAAGTTTTACTAAGACATTTCAATCCAGAGAAGAACGAAAGTGTTTCTGAAATGTCAATGTGAAATAAATTCAAATGAAATCATTTCAAAAGGTCTTCACAAGAGGTAATTATGAGGACAAAATTTTACTCAAAATTTAATTCTACTCATTAAGAAGAGTTCTGATTATGCCACTTGTAGAGGGAAAAAACACACCTTTGTAACCACATCTAACATTCCTTGGAGAATTTATGAAAATATCCTAAATCCCTGTGGGGTGCTAAAGGGAGAACAGAGGGTGGCTCTATTCAACCCTCCTCCAAACCCTTTCAGCACTGTGCCTTCCAGCCTGGGGGGGCGGGAGAGGGGGAGTGGGGGGGAGGAGACTGCCGTACTCAATCCTGTGTGGGAAGGCTATTGACTCATGCCCAGCCTCCCACCCTGAGCCTTCTAAGTCACAGATGGGATTAAAAATAGAATGTTCTTGGGCCCTTTGAAAGAAAATCTTTTCTCCCCCAAAACACAGTTTGGGGAAACCATTTCTTTCCATGCAAAGCTACTTCATATGTCATTTGGAATTAGTACAAGCAAAAAGGAGATTTTACAGCCATTCCCCATGTTTCTTTTCCTCCTGTCTTCATTCCCAGTTCACAGAAGGGAAAAAGAGGCAGGCTCCACCTGCATCCAACTCACGTAGCAACCTGACAAGTCACCTGCCTCTAAGAACAAGAGGAAAGTTCACCTGT